TTGTCTTTTTTTTTTTTTGCTTTTTTGTGACCGGTAAGGGGATCGCAACCCTTGGCTTAGTGTCCCCTGCACTGCGCTCAGCCAGTGAGCGCACCACCCATCCCTATATAGGATCCGAACCCGCGGCGGGAGTGCCACCACGCTCCCAGCGCCGCACTCTTCCGAGTGAGCCACGGGGTCAGCCCTAGTGAGTTGTCTTTAAACACAAACACATAAAATAAGTATATTTATTGATTGGTTGATGAAAATGTTGTGACCAGAGACTTGCAGGAACCTAAACCTTTGTCTCCCCCAGGAACAGTGATTCGGCATTTGCTAATTCAAGAGTTCATAGCAACTGTATAGAACATAAGTACCTTAAGTAACAGGAATCAGTTACATACAAAATGTCACAATAGACAAGCTTATAGTCACAGAAAGTAGATTAGTGCTTGCCAAGGATTGGGAGTGGGGCAGAAAATGGGGAATGGCTGCTGAATGACTACGGGTTTTCTTTTTGGGTGATGAAAATGTTCTGGAATTAGAAATGGTGATAGTTGCACACCTCCGTGAATATACTAAAAACCATAGAATTTTATAGTTTACATGGGTGAATTTTGTGGTAAACGAATTTTATCTCAAGTTGTTTATATAAAGACATTTGAAGGAAATGCGTGAGTTTATTTTTGTTTTTTGTTTTTGCGAGTGGCTAGTACAAGGATCCAGACCCTTGACCTTAGTGTTATAACACCATGCTTTCTAACCAACTGAACTAGCTGGCCACCAGATAAGTTTTGAATATCAATTGGATAATAGATGATATGGAACTATTGTTAATTTTCAAAGATGGGATAATGGTATTATGGTTTTGTATGAAATATCTTTATTCTTAGGAAATGCATGCTGAGTGTATTAGGGTTCTCTAGAGAGACAGAAACAATAGGATGTGTTATAAATACATGAAGGGATTTTTTAGGCGAACTAGCTCACGCAATTGTGAAGAGAAATCCCACGATAGGGCCGGCCCGTGGCTCACTCGGGAGAGTGCGGTGCTGATAACACCAAGGCCACGGGTTCGGATCCCATATAGGGATGGCCGGTTCGCTCATGGGCTGAGCATGGTGCTGACAACACCAAGTCAAGGGTGAAGATCCCCTTACCGGTCATCTTTTAAAAAAAAAAAGAAATCCCACGATAGGCTGTCTGGAAACTGGATGCCTTTAGTGTGGCTCAGCCTAAGTCCAAAGGCCTCAGAACCAGGGCAGTCAATGGTATCCTTGGTGTAAGTCTTGGAACCCAAAAGCTAAAGAGTTTTTGAGCTGTGATGTCCATGGACGAGGAAAAGAGTATATCCCAGCTTCAGCAGATAGAAAGATTCACCTTTTCCTCTGCTTTTTTTTTCTCCGGGCCCCAGTGGATTGGATCATTCCCGCCCGTATTGAAGATGAATCTTTTCTACTCAGTCCACTCAGGTTCTCATGCTAATCTCTTCTGGAAACACCCTCACTGACACACCTAAAAAGATAGCTTTACCAGATTTCTCTGTATTCCTTAATCTGAACAAGTAGACACCTAGAATTAACCTTCACACTGAGGTATTTAGGGGTAATGTATCAGGTCTAGAAGTTAATTTCAGATGGTTCAAGAATTTGATTGAGACTAGAGAATGAAAGAGAAAGCAAATGTGGCAAATGATATCATTTGTTGAATCTAGATAGAAGATATGTTTCTATTGTACTTACAACTTTTTTTTCTGCTTGAAATCTTTCAAAATAAAAAGGGGGGAGACTTTTTGCACAATCAATACTTAAAACACATCTTTTGTCTTTGTAAGTTGTAGACTTATTTAGTTGTTCTTACTATGCTGGTTGTAACAGAAAGCAAGAATCCATGGACACTGGATACACTTATGTATGCCATAGCATTAAAACCAGAGTGTACAAGAAAAGCTCTCTATTTTTTTCTTATTGAATATTTAAATTTAATTCCCTACAGTTTTTTGAAGTAGCATATTCATTGCAATTTGTGAAATAATACAAGGCTATATAAGAAAAAAATAATCTGTATTAATAGTCTATGTGATATATGTGTTTAAATATTCACCAAGGAGAAACTCCAGCACAGTGTTTATATCAGAGCCTATTATATGCTAAACACTACAGTAATGGAGAAACATGGGAAACTTGTATGCCTTTGAGGAGCTCACCTTGTAGAAGTCAGACAGGTAAATGAATGTAAGATACTATAGTAGAAGTATGGACAAAATTGTGGGAAAGACTTCTGATGATGGTAAAATAGATCATTTGGGGGCGGGGGGGCACTCTACTGAAGACAAGTAGAAAAGCTAAGCAAAACATAAAAACATCTACTTGAAGCCATTTTAGAACAATCAAGAAGATTTATGGAGCCCAGATTCAGGAGAAGATGGAAATTCACAAAGGTGAGCATGGCATTTGAAGACACTTTTCCCATAGAAGTTTCTGATTCCAGAAGAAGCAGTTTAGAGGAAAAGAAGCAAGTTGAATAATATTTTTGACAGCCTCTTAGAGCATAGTTGGAGTTCCATACCTTGTGGTAGAACCTGAAAGGATACATCTAAGTATGAGGATATAAAAGAAGTAGACAGGCCCCTGCAGGAACAGAAGCCTAGCTTTAATTATCTCAGTTCCTGAAATTAGATTAAGGAGATCATGGATGGATAATAGCCCTAACAGCCTGCCTGAAGTAAATGAGAAGATAGTTTAGAAAACGGTATCCAGAATGAAACACATTTGGAGAGGGCCGGCCCGTGGCTCACTCGGGAGAGTGCAGTGCTGACAACGCCAAGGCCACGGGTTCGGATCCCACATAGGGATGGCCAGTTGCTCACTGGGAGAGTATTTTAAAAGAATGGAGGAGGGGCCGGCCCGGGTGGCGCACTGGATAGTGCGCCGCTTGGGAAGCGCGGCGGCGCTCCCATCCGAGGGTTCGGATCCCACATACAGACCGGCTCCCGCTCACTGGCTGAGCGAGGCACAGGAGCAACGCCAAGGCACAGGAGCAACGCCAAGGCACAGGAGCAACGCCGGTCCGGTACGGGGGCAACACTGAGGGTTGCGATCCGTTGCTGGACACGGAAAAAAGACAAAAGACAAAAAAAAAAAAAAAAATTACTTAAACACTTCATCTCATTTTCTTTTCTCATAGAATGGTATAAATGGTTCACAAACTAGCACTCATCCACAGACCACAGCTTGAGTGGTATGGTAACAAAAGAAATTGAATGCATAATTAAAATCTTTCCCACTGAGAGAATTACAGGTGTGTGTGACTTTACTGGTGGATTTTACAAACATGTAAGGAAGAAATAATTATACAGACTTTTTTTGAATATTGAAAAGAAGGAAATACTTACTCCCCAATTCTTTTTAAGAGGCCAAATTTGACAATGACATTAAAATAAAAGCAAATTATAGGATATTCTTACGCATGAAGAGAGATGTAAAAAATCAACAAAATATTGGCAAACCAAATCCAGCATTATAGTTTGGCCTGTTTGGTTTTACTTTAGGAATGTAGGGTGGCTTTAACATTTGAAAATTAATGTAATTCACCCATTTTAAAAGAATGGAGGAGAAACAGCATATAATCATCTTGATACATGCTGAAAAATCATTTGATAAAGTTCAGCATTCATTCATGGTAAAAAAAAAAAAAATTAACAAATTGCAATAGAAAAGGAACTGCTAAATTTACAACAAACCTGCAGCAAATATAATTTATAGTGACATGCTGAAAACTTTCCCTTTGAGGTCAGGAATGAGACAAGGATGCTTGCTATCATCACTTCTATTCAAGGTGCAGTACCTTAATAATCAAAGCTGTAAAATTGAAAAGGAAGAAATAAACCTTTTATTATTCACATACAGTGTGACTGCAAATCCTTAAGATTCTAGAAAACCCAAAAGGAAGATCCGGAACAACGTTGCTGGATACAAGGACCATATACAAAATAATTGTTTCTATACAGCAGCAACAAAGTGATTTTAGAAATATATCATTTACAATAGCATCAAAAAAAATCAAATATATAGGAATAACTAACAAATTTCCACACAATAAACTAAGACGTTATTGAGACTAAGTAATTTTTTTAAACATTACTGAGAAAAATCTTTGAAAGAGCTAAATAAATGGAGCATTTATTGTTTTTGTGGATTGAAACTCTCAATATTATAAAGATTGAGGTTGATTTACCTCAAATATACAGATCAGTGATCCCAAACAATCTCAATAAGGTTTTTTTGGGGGGTGGGGGGGTGGGGATATAGAACTTAAAGCTTTGATTATAAAATTTGTATGGAAATGCAAAGAGTCAAATAGTTAAGGCACTCTTGAAGATGAAACACAATGTGGAAGAACTTGTTTTATTGGATATTGAGACCTTTTTTGAAACTATAGTTACTAAGAATGTGCCATTTAGGTGCATGGATGGACAAATGTCTAGCTGTAACTAACCTGAGAAAATGGATGAGGATCTTTTTTTGTGTGTGTTTTTTTGTCTTTTTTCGTGACCGGCAACGGATCGCAACCCTCAGTGTCATGCCCGTACCGGACCGGGACCGGCAACGGTATCGCAACCCTCGGTGTTGTGCCCGCACCTCGCTCAGCCAGTGAGCGGCCGGTCTGTATGTGGGATCCGAACCCTCGGCAGGAGCGCCGCCGCTCTCCCAAGCTGTGCACTGTAGCAGTGCGCCACCGGGCCGGCCCTTGGATGAGGATCTTAAAAAAGAAACTACCAGTTGAAGATAATGTTAATAATGCAAGCATAAGTTAACAAGAAAATAGCAGAGTTCAGTCAGCTATTTCGTACTACTCATTTTGTCTTAACAATAAGATTCTAAGCATCTGGAAATTAGAAACTATCTCTTACTCTTAAAACATCTTCAGTAGAATCTGTCATAACACTTTAGGAGGTATTTAATAGTTACTTTGAATTTTATTATGTGCTTACGTAACTTTTGAATCTTTTTTGGTTTTAGATCTGCTGATTTAGGTCCTAATTTATTGACAAGATCTGGACAACCAACACTTACCAGAGTGCCCCCACCTATTCTTCCAAGGCCATCACAGCAGACAGGAAGCAGCAGTGTGAACACTTTCAGACCTGCTTACAGTTCATTATCTTCTGGATACGGTGCCTATGGAAATTCATTTTATGGAAGCTATAGCCCTTACAGCTATGGATATAATGGGTTGGGCTATAACCGCCTCCGTGTAGATGATCTTCCACCTAGTAGATTTGTTCAACAAGCTGAAGAAAGCAGCAGAGGTGCATTTCAGTCCATTGAAAGTATCGTGCATGCATTTGCCTCTGTCAGTATGATGATGGATGCTACCTTTTCAGCTGTCTATAACAGTTTCAGGGCTGTACTGGATGTAGCAAATCACTTTTCCCGATTAAAAATACACTTTACAAAGGTTTTTTCAGCTTTTGCATTAGTTAGGACTATAAGGTATCTTTACAGACGGTTCCAGAGGATAATGGGTTTAAGAAGAGGCTCTGAGAATGAAGACCTGTGGGCAGAAAGTGAAGGAACTGTGGCTCATCTGGGTGCTGAGCACCAAGCAGCTAACTCAGCAAAATCTTGGCCAATTTTCTTGTTCTTTGCTGTTGTCCTTGGTGGTCCTTACCTCATCTGGAAACTGCTGTCTACCTACAGTGATGAAGTAACAGGTAAGAGTAAGGAAATGGGTTCAGAAACTATAACAGTCTCAAATTTCAAGAATGGGTTTGTTAAATTAGTGTTTTTTATATTCATTTGTATTTACTATTTTGATCCAGTTACATTTTCAGTTAAGAGCTTCAAAACTGGAAGAGGAATATGTAGCAAAAACAGGTTTGCTGATTTATTTATTGTTTTTCAGTGTAACAGTACACATTACCTTACTGTTTACAAGGAACTGAACTTGGAGCTGTGGTGGATATGAAGATACATAGGGTATAATCCCTACCTTACTGAAACTTATTGGGAGAAAAGTGATTAATATACATAAACAGGTAATTTAAATGAGGCAGAAAGAGTGTGGTAAGGAATTTGACAGTTGGAGAGAGACATAAGGTTTCTTGAGCCCTTTTTTTAATATGCATGACACTGCTAGATATTTTGGGTATTTTATCTCAATTGTTTCAACAACCCAAAGAGATAGTAATTATCCTCATTTTACAAGTGACAAAACTAAGGTTCAGAGAACTTACTTGTCCAAGGTCACATCTTTAATATGGTAGAACCAGAAATAAAACCAGGTTGCTTGACTGTTAAGCCCATACTCTGTCGACTGGTAGAGAGTACTATCTGACTTTGGAAAAATGAAGCTAACATTTTTGGCTGTCGTATCCAGGAAGAAATGGCATCTGAGTTAGATTTTTGAAAAATAGGTATCATTTCATAAGTTAGGTAAGGAGAAAAAGACTGTCAAGCAGATGGAATAGATTGAACAAAAGTACATAGGTAGAAAATATGAGATTCGTTCAGCAGTTGTCCTATAGTATTGAATAGAAGGATTGTAAGAAATAAGGCTTAGAAATTATGTTGAAGGCTAATAGTAGAAAACTTAATTGCCATTATGAGGCTTAATCTTCGTTTAGTAAGGGATGGATAGTTTTTTCGTAGTTTTTGGTTTTTAAATGGGCTGTGACATATATATAAACAGTGCTCTAACGAGGTCAGTATGTCTGAAATATTTAAGATAAATCAGTGGAGTTTAATTAAAACAAGTCGAAGTTAGATAGTAAGATTCATAAAGGATTTAGATTATCTTCACCTTTGTATTCCCAGTATCTAACAACCTGCTTGGCACATAGGAGGTGCTTAATAAACATTTATTAATTTGGGGACATCAGTTTTGATGCATTTGCATTAGACTGGATGAGAGATAATGAAGCTCCAAACTAGGGTATGTGAAAAGCAGAACTGATATAATCAATTCAGTGGATTTGGTCACTGGGTAGATGTGGTACATAAAGGGAAAGGAAGAATCAAAATGACCTAGACCTTTAAATTTGGGTTATTAGAGTGATAATGTTTATTCATTAATTCAATAAGTATTTGTTGAGTGCCTACTACATGCCAGACACAGTTCTAGGAGCTACGGATATAGCAACAAGTAAAACATTTAAAAAAATCCTTGCTCTTGTGGCAATCTAATGGGAGGGAGACAGTAAACATATATAATAAGTCAGAAGGTAATAAGTGCCACAGGAAAAAAAAAACATAAAGTAGGGAAGAATGTTGGGAAGTGCCAGGAATAGGAAGAAGGGTCGCAGTGCTACATATAGTCAGGGAAGGCCTTCCTGAAGGAGGTAAGGGAATACACCCTCCAGCTATTTGAGGGAAGAGTGTTTAAAGCATAGGGAAAAGCAAAAGTGCAAAGATATTTAAGTGGCAGTGTGCTTGGCATGTCACGTGAACAGCAAGAAGGCCAGTGTGGTTGGAGCAGAGTGAGAGTGGTAGGAGACATTCGGAGGAAGAGTTGAATGAGTAGATGGTATAGGGAAGCCATCACAGAGTTTGGGACAAAGGAGAAATATAATCTGACTTAGATTTTAAAAAGAAAATCTTTTTACTGATAATGGTTAATAGGTAGACCTAGGGCAGAAGAGACCAATGTGGAGAGTAAAGAAGCCATTACATTAATTCAAGTGAGAGATGATAGTGGCTTGGGTTAGGGTGGCAGTGATGTGAGTCCTGAGGTGGAGTCAGATTGTGGATATGTATTTGCAGGAAAAGCCAATAAAATAAATATAGAGAAATCCCATGGGACAACTGGTTTGTGAGTGATTATCATTAGTTTGGTTGGAGTTAATATTGAGTTTGATGTGCCATTGGGACATTGGGACTTGAATGAAGTTTAAAAGGCAGGACAGGATCTTAGAGAGGTTAAAAAAGTTAAAAATTATCCACATAGAAGTGATAGTTGAATAGTTGAAATAGTGTAAGTCGATTATATTACTATGGTAGAAAGACAGAAAAAAGAAGAGGGAGTAAGATGGAAATCAGGAAGACTAGAAGTAGAACCATGTTATTACTGCATTTTGGAAGCATGGGAGTGGAGGGAGGAAGGAAGTTTCAAGAAGGGGAAGAAGGATGATGAGTGGTATAAGATGCTATAATAACGTAAGATCAAGAACTGAATAAAGTTCATTAGATTTGTCAATTAGATGTCATCGATTGCCAGGAAGTAATTTTGGTGTAGAGCAGAGAAAACAAACTGTGGAGGGGGATAACGGGTTTATAAACTCAGACGATACAAAAAAATAAAAAGATTAGCAGTGAATGGAAGGAGAGGAAAAAAAGAATAGCCATGTTGAGTGATAGCAAGTTGATGTGATAGTTCTCGGTTTTTAGTTTTGGTTTGTCTTTTAAGAAGTAAGGATATCTGAAAATGTTTTTAGGCTAAAGAAAGGAGTCAGTAGAGGAGCGATTGTAGATAAGGGAGGGACAGAGAAGTGTTAAATAGTGAAGGAGCCTCCTATAGTATGTTGGAGAAGATTTGATTCAAGGAACCAGTCAAAAGGAGGTACAATTCTTTATCTGAGGCAAAAGAAGGAGAAATGGGTAATGATACAAAAAGATTTTTGAGGAGGAGCGAAATTGAGGAGACTTAGGTCTTATGACTTTAGCTTTTAGAGAAGTGGTTGGCTACCTGTGGCCTATGGGCCAGATCTGGCTTACTCCTATTTTTGTACAGCCCACAAACTAAGAATGGTTTTTATATTTTTCAGCAGTTAGAAAAAAATAAGAAATATTTTTTAAAAAAAAGAATTTGCGATGTGAAAATTATATAAAATTTAAATTTCAGTGTTCATTAATAAAGTTTTATTAGAACAAAGCCACACTCATGTGTACATATTATGGTTTCTCTTTCACTATAACACAGTTGTTTGCACAGAGATCATATATGGCACTCTCTAAAAAAGAATTTGCGATGTGAAAATTATATAAAATTTAAATTTCAGTGTTCACTAATAAAGTTTTATTAGAACAAAGCCACACTCATGTGTACATATTATTATGGTTTCTCTTTCACTATAACACAGTTGTTTGCACAGAGATCATATATGGCACTCTCACTGCTTCACTCTTCAGCTCTGCACAATACAAATCTCAATAACTCAGTTATAACTTGACAACATGTTAAGTGTCATATATAGTTATACTGTAATTTTTATTATTATTATGAGTGTATACACGGCACACAAGAAGAGAAGACTTTGGACTTTGAATGTCATACTTTTAAGGCACAGTATAGTATGGATTATTTTGTTATTGAATTAGATGGTAAAGCACTGTATTTATTATGTAGTAACACTATAGCTATGTTAAATGGATATAATATATATCTACATTACCACACTGAAGACTAATCATAGAAAATCAACAGTTAGAAAAATTAGAAAATTTAAAATGGGAATCTTATCACAGAATTTCCTCACCAAAAAAGAATGAAAATGAAAATCAGACTGCGACCAAAGTAAGTTTGTGAGAGCTCATTTGTTAGCCAAGCTAGGAAGTTATTTACTGATGGTGATTGCAACAGCCAAAGAAATGTGTTGAGAAAAAGTAAATTTGTTTAAGAACATTAGCCTTCGGTGAGAACAGTTTCTTGAAGAGTTGATGGCATTTGGAACAACATAGCAACTTAAAACAAGGCAAATGATTCGAAAGGTTTTCCTTGGCTCATGATGACCCAACAGATACTATTGATACTTGCTATGGTTTGAATGTATCCCCCAAAGTTCATGTGTTAGAAACTTAATCCCAATGCATCAGTGTTAAGAGGTGGGGCCTTTAAGAGGTGATTAGGTCACTAAGGCATGAATGGATTAATGTCATGATTGCAGGACTGAGTCTGTTACTGTGCGAGTGGGTTTGTTATAAAATCAAGTTCAGTGCTCTCTTGCTCTTTCGAGCATTCTCTCACCATGTAATTCCTCTAACATGTTATGACCCATCAAGAAGTCCCTTACTAGATGTAGCTCCTTGATCTTGGACTTCCCACCCTTCATAACCACAAGCCAAATAAACTTCTATTGTTTATAAATTATCCAGTCTGTAATAGGAGCACAAGGTACTGCTCAGTTGATTATTTGAGGAATCAATGATGAATATGAAGTCACTGAAGAATTAGCCTCTGTAAATAGTCTGTGTGGTACAACTACAGGCAAGAATATTTTCAAAGAAATTGAAAACACTAATTCACTATAACCTGAGGTGGAATCTGCTAAGTTGCAACTGATGGTAAAAATATAGGTGGAGCGGAAATAGGCTTAACTGAACACAATTTACCAAGCATTTGAAAATGTAAAGTTTTTTAAGTCCCTGATTATTCATTGTGTTATCAGCAGAAAATTGCAGAAAATATATGAATTTATCATGTGTTATTGAACCAATAGTGTCAAAGGTAAAATTCATTCACTCCTGGGGACTGGTGGGTTAGCTCAGTTGACGAGAGCGCAGTGTTATAACACCAAGGTCAAGGGTTCGGATCCCCTTACCAGCCAGTTCCAAAAAAAAGAAGAAAAAAAACCATAGTCACTCTTGTGACATAACCATTGTCAGTTTTGAGAGTTTTTGTCAGATATAGAAGCTGAAGATTCTGACTTGCCCTACTGTATGTTCAGTGGCTTAACAAGAGTTAAAGGTTTTTTTTTTGTTTTGAGATCAAGGCCAAGACTGAAATTTTTCTGAACAGAACCACCCTCAGCCACTCTTATAAAACACTAAATGGCTTTGTACATCAGCTTTTGCTACAGACTTGGTAATATTCGTAATGAATTCAACCTAAAACCATAAGGCAGAACAGTGCTTATATGCAAAACTTATGCTAAAGTTATTTGACAACAGCTAACATTATTTGAATCACAAGGAATGTTGCACTGCTTTATATTACCTCCCAGGCTGTCAAAAGTTAAAACAAGAAGTGAGATTTCCATTCCTACATGAGTTTGCAGCAGATATATTTTCCAAGTTCATTCCACGATGCCAGACCCTTTTTTGGACCTCCATGGAAGTGCAAAGGAAATTTCCATATTTCAAAATCTATTTAACTGTGCAATTGAGAGGCTTCCACTTAACCTTCCTTTGGAAGTGATTAATCTGCAGTATGATGACATGGTAAAAGGCAAATATGAAGAAAAGAATTTAATAGAATTATATTCTAGTCTATTAATCTTTCAAGTAATGAATTTGCCTAGTTAAAACCACATGCTTATGGGCCGGCCCGGTGGCGCACTGCTACAGTGCGCCGCTTGGGAGCACGGAGGCGCTCCCGCCAAGGGTTCGGATCCCACATACAGACCGGTTCCTGCTC